TCTGCAGACCTGTGAGACTTTTCCCAGCTATCTTTAGCAGTCTAAGTGAAGGTGTTAGGAGGTTAGCTATCTTAGTATGGTATTTTTCTCTTTTTAGCTATGCCTCTAGCATTTGTTTCTAATTTTACTACATTATAGTTGAAATATACTTGGTTCTTTGGAATTTATTGTGGCTCTCTTTTATGGCTTAGCATATAGACTGTATTTGAAATCGTGCTGCATATTTTTTTCTTGAACATATTCTTGATTTATTTGGTATAGATTTTATATGAGGGACTTTGAAAAGTTTATGGAAGAATGTTTATTACAAGTATATTTTGATGTAAAAAATTTTTGAAATGCATGCATAGTTTTTTGTAATACACATTTTCCATGATTTTTTTTTTTTTTTACTTTTAAAAAGAATTTTGCTATAGAGCATGTGTGCTTGCCAGAGAGAAAGAGAGGAAAAGTGAAAAAGTACCACCCTCCATTCCCCCACCCCAGTGGGAAGGCCATGCTGTTATTTCTTCTCCTCTTAGGATTTAGGGCACTCATGCACATGTGTCTGGTTGTTTGTAAAGCTGCTGGGTCTGGGTCTCAAACCGCCTAGTTGGCCATGTGGTATCCAGCTGCCTTAACCACTATACCACTAGCTGGCCTTCATGAACTTTTTTTTTTTTTTTGCTATAGGGCGTGTGCACTTGCCAGAGAGACACAGAGAGACAGAGAGACAGAAAGTGAGAAATCATCCCGTAAGGGGGATGGCCACGCCGCAATCCCTTCTCCTCCATTCTCCTCTCGGGATCTTGGGCACGCACGCACAGGTGCCTGGTGTGAGTTTAAGCCACTGGGTCCAGGACTCAAACTGTGGTCGACTACATGGGAATCCAGTGACATAGCCATTACGCTAACTGCTGGTCCCATTGGTGAACTTTTTGAAGGCCCAGATGTAGATGTAAAATTGCTTGAGCTTGGGTTTGCTCCATTACCTGGTGTTTAAGGTAGTTAGATTCCACATGGCCAACTGTGCTGTTTGAACCTCAACCCTGGGGGCTTGGAAAACACATCACTCATGTATGTATGCATGCCCCAGTCCCAACAGGATAGAGAAATGGAGAAGAGATTACAGCATGACCATGCCCAATTGGGGTGCACTTTCTCCCTTTTCCTCTCTTTCTGTCTTTATCTTACTCTGTGAAGAGCACACACACACACACACACACACACACACACACACAGAAAAGAAAAACCTGCTTGAGCTTCTGAGTTTTACTGTTTAGATCTTCAAGAGGGGCATGTCAAAGTTTCTTTGAGCGCAGACAGGTATCAGGAACACATGAGGTTGCAGTCTTCAGGGCCTTGTGACTAGGTATGCAGGGGTGAGCAATGAGTGAGAATTCCCTTGTGTTGTGTCCTGCACCCAGCAGATAGGGAAACAGTGGGTTAGAGAATTGGCGTGGTTTCCCCAGGGTCATATAGCTGGTAAATAGCTATATTTATATTCCAATACTTGCACCCAGCTCTTTTGGGTTCAAGTCTAATACTCTTCTCTCATATCTTTTACGTGTAGTGTAGGTAGGTGGTAGGTTATATCTATCTTTCAACATCGTCTAAAAAGGAGTATCATTAGATCCTCATCAAAAACCCATTTAGAGGGGACCTGCAGATGACTTAATGGTCATGTTGCTGGACTCCCACGTAGTCGTCCATAGTTTGAGTCCTGGACCCAGTGGCATAAAACATGCTGGGCATGTGTGCATTGGTGCCCAAAATCCTGAGAGGAGAATGGAGGAGAAGGGATTGTGGGGTGGCCATCCTCCTGGGGAGCGGGCGTGATTTCTTGCTTTCTGTCTATCTCTCTCTCTCTCTGTCTCTCCTGTGAGCACATGCGCTCTATACCAAGAATCTCTCTAAAAAACAAAAACCTATTTAGAGAAGTAGTTAGAGAAGGTGACATTATCCTATTTTATAAATATTATGAAATTTATGACAAATATAAAAACTGGTCACTAGAGAAACTTTGTTTTCAAGTCTGAGTCTAGTGTTAGTGTGTACATTTTGGGAGTGGGGGGCATGTCAGAGTACTGGTAGGAAGCAATCGACAGCATATGTTTCAAATAAAGACTGAATCTAGAGGCTACTTTCAAGAGGTGTAGGCAGACTTAAGGCAGCAAGCAAGAGAGGGAGGGGCGAAGGAGGAGCCTGGTGGAACCTGGAGCTGTGGCCTTAGAAAGGCCATTTGATAATGAATGGACTGAAAAAGTGAGGTGCGTATACTCAGCCATAAGAAAACACAAGATCCTGACTTTTTTTTTTTTTGTAGTTTTTTTTTTTTTTTTTTTGAGAGATTTTCACTATAGGGTGCGTGCGCTCGCCAGACAGACAGAGAGAGACATTAGAGACAGAAAGCGAGAAATCACCCCCCAGGGGGGATGGTCACGCCGCAATCCCTTCTCCTCCATTCTCCTCTCGGGATCCTGGGCACGCACACACACGCGCCCGGCGTGAGTTTTAAGCCACCGGGTCCGGGACACGAACCGCGGTCGACTACGTGGGAGTCCAGCGACATAGCCATTACGCCAACTGCTGGTTCCCAAGATCCTGACTTTTGATAGAAGGTGGACAAATATGGAAGATTTACTGCTGAGTGAAATAAGCCAGGCTAAGAAGGAGAGACATTGTATGTCTCTACTTTATATCTACTGACTGTCCACACTCTATGGTGGAAATGGAAAGATTAGATGATATTGAAGCATAGAAAATGGTTTTGGATACTGGATACAGTGTGGGAAGAAGGTGGGAGAAGGAGGAGAGTATGAGGAAAGACATTAAGGGAAAAAATAGGCAAGACACTTATGGGACACAGAAATGGATTATTATCTGTTGATAATGTGTATAGTATCCTAGACTGGACTGGTGTGAAGTATATTCATGTTGGGAAAATTATCTTTACAAGCTAAGTGATGTATAGTGATTGAATGTATAAAGTAAATCAAAATAAATTAAGAAAAAATATCTTGCTGTTAAGTTCCTTATATATTTTGAATATTAGACCCTTATCATATATGGTTCACAAATATTTTTTTTTCACAATCTGTACACTGCCTTTTAATTTTGTTGATTGTTTCCTTTGTTGTGCAGAAGCTTCCTAGTTTGATATAGTCAGAAATGTTTACTTTTGCTTTTGTTACCTGTGCTTGTAGTGTTTTATCCAAAAAAATCATTGCTAAGACCTATGTCAAGGAGTTTCTCCCCTATATTGTCTTCTAGGAGTCTTATGATCTCAGGTCTTATGTTTAGATCTTTAATCCATTTAGAGTTCATTTTTTTATATAGTGTAAGATAAGGGTCCAATTTCATTCTTTTGCATTTGATATCCAGTTTCTCCAACAGATTTATTGAAGACTATCTTTTCCCTGCTCTTTTTCTTTTGATTTTTTTTGTTGTACTTTATTTAGTAGATTCTCATTTTTCTCAGTATATTAAATATTGACTACAGCCATACTTTTGAAACTTCTTTTTGCTCTCTGCATAGTTCTCTATTTCTTCTTAGTTTTTCCTACTGTGCATATATTTGCTCTGGTCTCTGACTTTCATCTTGGAAGTTTTTTTTGTTTTGTTTTGTTTTTTAATTTCATTGATTCTTTTTTTTTTTTAAAGAATTATTTTATTTAACTTTATTTACCTATTTTAATTTGACCAGAGAGGGACAGAATGAGAGAGAGAGAAGGAAAGTGAGAAAGCAAGCCACCAGGTCCAAGACTCAAACTGTGGTTGGCCATGTGGGAGTCCAGTGCCCTTAACCACTACTCCACCTGCTGGCTCTCTATTGATTCTTGGCTGTCAATTCATCTTAAGTATTTTAGGTACTTAAGCTGACTGAAAGCTTCCTTTTAAGAGGTTTGTCGACTGGTGTATTTTAGTGTATAGTGATTTGTAGGACTCTGGATATTTCTTAGGGAAAGGCCCACATATAAGTACCTTTGGGGATTTTATTTCATTTTTTTCTAAAGATCATTCTTTTTTATTTTTTTCAGAAAAAAAATTCTTCTGATCACTTATTTGCTGAGAAGGAGCTTGGATGCCATTGTTTGTGTAGCCCATCTGGGAAAGGCAGGGAAGATTAGATGGTTAGCAAATTGTGGAGGGGATGTAAATACAAGTTGTGTGACTTTGGAACCCTTGCCCTGGGCTATGCTTGTTGCCTTGTGTGTTGAATATTAAATGGGACTTCACATCCCTCCACCCCCATTTTTAAAATTATAGTAAAATACATGTAAGATTTGTCACATTAACTATTTTAAAGTATACAGTTCAGTGTGTTAAATACATTCATAATTTGCAACTATTGTCACTGTCCATCTCCAGAACTCTTGTAAAAATGAAATTCTATACCCATTAAATAGTAAGTCCCCATTTCCTTCTCTCCTCAGCTTCTAGCAACCATTTTTCTGCTTTCTGTCTGTCTGATTTTTAACTAAATATTTAATATAAGTGAAGTCACAGAATTTATCTTTATTGACTTATTTCAACTTATAATGTCCTCAATATTCATCTATATTGTAATATATATCAGAATTTACTTTGTTTATAAGGCTGCATATGTCCTGCTGTCAACAGCTTTTTACATTTTTTTTTAATTTCCAGAGGGTGTGTATGCATGCCAGAGAAAGACAGAGAGAGAGAAAGAGAGAGAGATAAAGCACTCTCCAGTGGGGCATGGTCATGTCGCATTTCCTTCTTCACTTCTCCATCCTGTCAGGATGTTGGGCACATGGGTGCACACACAAGTGACCAGTGTGTCTTTCTAGTGGCTTGGGCTGGGTTTCAAATCATGATCAGCTATGTGTGATCTAGCTCCCTTAACCACTAGGCTATAGGACTGGCCTACATTGTTTTTTCTTGTTGTATGTAGCAACTGTCTTAATCCTGTTTGTAGCACAGTTAGGAACACAATCTGTATTATTATCTTTAATTATTTCCATGTTAGAGATTTATAATTTGTTCTTAATTTGCAGCTATTTTCAAGGAGCAAACCTCCAAAGGGCCTGTATGTTTATGGAGATGTTGGTAAGTGTGTTAAATAAGTTTTGGGTAGACCAAACAGAAAGTTTCCCAGATTTTTCTCAGCATTAACTTCCATATCCATCTCTCAGTTTTCTACCAGCAAGGGAATAGGAGGAGGCAAAGGAAAGTAGGAGGAAAGGAAAGGTAAGAGGAGGACAGGTATTTCAGCTTTCACTTGTACTTCTCCTAGGATGTGGATGCAGTTTAAGACAGGTTAGGTTACCAGGTTAGGGTACAAACATTATTAATGGATAAAGTGATTTGACCTCAGGGGAGGAAGTCATGTACACATAAGTTATTAGATACATTTAGATTCATTACTCAGTGCTAATTGATCAGCTCAATATTTAAAAAAATAAGCTGTTCTTTTAAAATTTTCAGGGAACCAGCAGTTAGCGTAATGGCTATGTTGCTGGACTCCCAGGTAGTCGACCGCGGTTCGCGTCGGACTCGGTGGCTTAAAACTCAACGCTGGGCACGTATGCATGCGTGCCCAGGATCCCGAGAGGAGAATGGGGGAGACGGGACTGCGGCGTGACCATCCCCCCTGGGGGGTGATTTCTTGCTTTCTGTCTCTATGTCTCTCTCTGTCTGTCTGGCAAGCGCACGCGCCCTGTAGTGAAAAATCTCTCCCCCCCCCCCCCAAAATTTCATTAACATTTCTACTCATAATCTAAACCTTTAGATTAATAATTTAGTTATTATTATTTTAAATTTAGTTGTTAGCAGATACTCTTAATACATAAGTGGTAACATTTCCTTGGTCTCTTGGGTATTTTTGTTTGTTTGTTTTGTTTTGTTTTAGAGAGATTATTGCTAGAGAGTGCTTGCGCTCACCAGAGAGACAAAAAGCAAGAAATCACCCTCCAGAGGGGATGGCCATGCCACACACAGTCCCTTCTCCTCCATTCTCCTCTCAGGACGTTGGGTACTCATGCACATGTACCTGGCGTGAGTTTTAATCTGCCAGATTCGGGACTCAAACCATGGTCAAATACATGGTAGTTCAGCGACATAACCATTATGTCATCTGTTAGTCCTGGTCTCTCAGTTTCATACATAGAGCATGAAGACTCATATTTTGTTAGAAATATTCTGAGTCAGCACTTGCTTTCTAGATTTTTCTAATCACTTAATGTCTTGCTATGGAAGTCTTTCCTAACCTCATTCTTACTGAAATAATCTGTTTTCTAGTTTCCAGTTCCTTCAAACAATTCCTCTTCTAGTCCTAAACCTTTCCCTGGTTATCCTCATTCACTTATGTCATGAAGATGAAGTAGCTCTCACTCTACTTGGCTTTCCTTTGTCAATTATTTCTTTTATTGACGCATTCAAAACTCACACTTAGATGTAGCAAGATTCGTTTTGGACCTAGACTAATATAGACACTCTAGGCTCCCATATAGCCATTACATATATGTGTTATGAGGGTGGCAGAAGTTATTTTCTTAGTAAAACCTTTAGGACAAGAAAAAAGTAAGAATTGAATGAGTAGTTCAAGTGCTTGATAGATAAAAAACATTCTTTTCTCTCTCCTCTTCTGATTTGGTCACTAATGTCTGTTTTACATTCATAGATTTAATTTAATAAAAGAATCAGGGCCAAGAATATGTGATTTTTAAAATAAAGGTCGGGCCAGCTGATGGCATGGTGGTTAAGGCAGCTGGTTCTCACTTGGTGACTGCAAAGTTCAAGTCCTGGATCCAGTGGTTTGAAAAACACATTGGCCATGTGTGTGTATGTGCCTAAGATCCTAGAAGGAGAAATGGAGGAGAAGGAATTGTGGAGTGACTCTCCCTAATGGGGGAGGGCTTTTTCATTTTCTCTCTCTCTGTTGAATGCACATACCCTATGGCAAAAAAAAAGAAAGAGTCATTTGGCCACTAAAGTGGACAATAGAGATTGCCCCTTAAAATTTTTCAAGTTCTTGAAAATTGAAGATTTAAAAAATATTAAAGAAGCTAAGCTATTTTTTTTTTTTTGAGAGGTTTTCGCTATAGGGCGCGTGCACTCGCCAGACAGACAGAGAGAGACAGAGAGACAGAAAGAGAGAAATCATCCTCAGGGGGATGGTCACGCCGCAATCCCTTCTCCTCCATTCTCCTCTTGGGATCTTGGGCACGCACGCACATGTGCCCGGCGTGAGTTTTAAGCCACCGGGTCTGGGACGTGAACCGCGGTCGACTACATGGGAGTCCAGCGACATCGCCATTACGCTAACTGCTGGTTCCCAAGAAGCTAAGCTATTCTTTATCTTAGTTCATTGATAGGTATTTTGAGACCAATGTATGCTTAACTTCTTATCTAGAAAGTAGTTCATTCCAAATGTTTGATCAGTTGTGTGTGCCTGTACGTTTGGGCATTGAGTCGATTTCATCCTTCTGTCTGTCTGTCTCCTACTGAGAGCATTTGCTCTCAGTACCTACACTTTCATGTTCAATCATTGCTAAACTCCCCATCTTTGTTTCTCCTTTTACCTTAAGTACTTAAACCAAAGTCAAGATGGTTAGTAAAGCACAACAACTTCCACTTTTGCAAAAGGACTTTTTTTTTTTTTTTTAAGAGATTTTTGCTATAGGACACATGTACTTGCCAGAGAGGCAGAAAGAGAAAGAGAGAAATCACCCTCCAAGGGGGATGGCCACACCACAGTCTCTTCTCCATTCTCCTCTTGGAATCTTGGGCATGCACGCACATACCTGGCATGATTTTAAATCACCAGGTCTGGGACTTGAACCTCAGTTGACTATGTGGGAGTCCAGTGATGTAATCATTATGCCATCTACTTGGTCCCAGGACTTTTTTTTTTTTTTTTTAAAAAAAACAAAACACCATGATAGTTGTTGGATTTTAGTTTGGGAAATACTGATTGTATTCTAACTAGTTGAAGGGAGGTACAATATAAATCATTCTTCTGAATGCTTGAAACGATTAGAAAAGATGTGATGTCAGGATATTCACATAGGTTGGGTACGGGCAATTTTTGGTTAGAAACATCTTTACAATATAGAAAGGGGAAAAGAAAAAAATTCTGAGTTAGGAAGATGAACATTTTGATGGCTGTAATCAATTTAGTTTAGAATGCTTACAAAATAGGTAGATAAAAGATCAAATAATCATTATGGGGGGCTCTCTAACTGGGAGAAGAGCCTCAGAATGCCATCACAAGCTTATTCTTTACTAGTGATAGTTTCTGTTTGGACTCGGGAAACAGGTATTAAATTTTAAAGAGACTTGATGGGAAA